CATGATCCTGCCAAAGCATCTAACAGTGTAATCCTACATATGTTTATCATGAAGTAAGTCCCACTGGGTCCAATGTGGCTTGCTACTAATATACAAGTATAGGGTTCTAGCTCCATTGGAGTCAGATGTATCTAGACACAAATAGGATTCCTTGCCTCATCATGAGAAGCTGACAAGATCAGGTGCACATATGCTCTATACCAGGGGTAGGCAACCTTTCCCCTTTAAGGGCCGAGGGACTTCAGCTCCCAGAAGCCTCAACCATGTTGGCCAATAGTCCCATGTTGGCCAATAGCTCCTGGGATTCTGGGAGCTGAAGTCCCTCAGCCCTTAAAGGGGAAAGGTTGCCTACCCCTGCTCTATAAACTGAAAATATATCACTCAATGATACTGGTGACTCCCATGCCAGTGTGGTGGTGAATCTACTACAGATGTTAAGGTGTTAAACCTATTCTAGGGACAGGGTTCATCACCATGGATAGTTCTCTTAAATTCTGTATTGAAATGTTGTAATAGATTCTGCTTCAGCAGCTACCACCACCAGTCACTTTTTGGTATAGAGGGGCTGGGACAGGTAAAAATGAATCCAGATTCTCCTCCTTTCCACTTTCTGGACATCTGGCCACCATATCTGGATTGGACTATCAGAGGGGCTACAACATAGATAAATAGGTGCAATTCCCTGTCCAACTAGGCCTGCTTCTGTCCATGTACAGCTCCTAGAGGAATTGGGCAAGCAGTTATAAATAAGATTCCCCCCATTTAATTATAATTAAATGCAACTGGAGCCAGGACAATGAGTCCATGCAGAAAGAGAGCCACAATATAGGGAATAGATTTTTAATTAACAGAATGAACCACGTTTAAAGACTGACTGCCATTCTCATTTTACCCTACCCCACCCTACCCCTATTTACTGGAAATGTTCTTCAGCAAGGCCCTGGGGTATGGAGTGGGGGAAAGGAGATGCCAAGAATCCCAGGCTGCATCAGTCGGTGTGAACTGAAAGGCAGAGAGCACCTCACTGGATTGAGCTGTAGATGCTGAATACTGTTTATTTCTAAGTGAATCAATATTTCCCAGGCTCTATTAAGACAAACGCTGTCTTTATTTTTAGCCTTGCTAGGATGCATTGGTACTCTAAGTGTCACACTTATTGTTATAAAACAAGTGGGCAGTCTGCTTTTGATTCCTCTGTTAAATGCAGTCAGCCTTTCCAAAATGATGTCACTGATCACTTTTGTACATCACATTAATAGTGTTTT